GGTACAGTACGTTGAATACATCTATTATGTTATTCTATGTTGATACCATTTTGGAAATATTCTCCAGACGTTTCTTTTTTTCCCTTCTCATAGGTATGTATGTATGTATGTATGTACAAATGAGCAGCATTGCAACGAACGCCAAGGCACATGTAAAAAAACTCTAATGGATTCCGCTAGACGTTTTTTGTCTACCCGGGGGTACGGTGTGTCTGGGAGACTTTCATCGGGAGGGGGGGGGGGGGGGGGGCAGGCGAAATGCAAACAGAAAAGTGTCACTGAGTGTGGTGAGTCAACCTAGAGGGCCAGCAATACTGGCTCTAATCTCGTTGAGAGAACAACATGGGATGGAATGAATAGCGTAAGTACATACCTCATGATCAGTCTTGCTTTCCGATTTCCAATCAAAATAATCCTCAATATGGTACGGAGGCCCGTGAGAACGGGATTTCCATCTTCATCTCTGCATCCATCTCCAATCCGTCTCCATCTCCACCTACAGTCAGAGTTCACGTGGAGGAACCTAACTCGAACCACGTTCACGCGGTACCTGCCTCCCCCTCTCTCTCTTTCTTGCTTTCTTGCTTTCTTGCTTTCTTGCTTTCTTTCTTCGTTTCTTTCTTTCTTTCTTTCTCTCTTCTTGACTTAAACCCGTAGTTACGCTACATAGGGTTTAGCTGTAGGCAGGGAAGTTGGTCGACACATGGGTAGGGGGATCCGCCGGATATGGCCAGGGCTTAGCTGTCAACATTAGCGTTGCAACGCTAGCCTCGGGACCTGACCTTGTTGGCGACGGGTAGGGACTGTGGAATGCGCTGCGCTGCCGAGAGCGGGGCTAGAGTAGAGTACCAAGGCAGCAGTGAGGATTACGTTCAGCCACAGTAGATGCATGCATGCACATCAACCCATAACATGGAAATATTGATCATGGCTGTTTATTGGCGGCGCCGCTAAGCTGTATTGTGCATCCAAAACCACGTATCTCCGATCCCCTGGACAGGCGGTATGATGCTGGATGGGGTATGCACGGCGTAAGTGGGTGGGCTACTGGTTTTCAGGCAACATGCCCTAGATCAACGTGGATACATTCTAGCCTACCAATCGCATACGGAAAAATCAATATATACCTACCTACCTCCATTCTCCTGAAACCTGGGCATGTGCACTTCAACGGGTAGTTGCATCTATACCTCACAAAGACGATATCTGCCATGGTGTGTTGTGGTCCGAAGAGATAAATCTCGGGCTACTCGGTCTACATACAAAAGGCCTACCTACACCACTCGTTTACGTTTGCGATTGCGACTGCGTTAATCTATATACTTCACCCGACCCTACCCTATTTTGAGCCTACGCTGGCGATCGTCGCCATTACCTTATCCTCTCACTCTCAACCCCCCCCACCCGCGGTATCACCGACTCCCACTCCAATAGCCAACGCCCACAACCGGCCACGCGGGCAACTAAAGCGTGTTCTGCTCCCGTGCACAGAGGCTTGGTCTCGCCATTATGTAGTGCGGAAACCCGATGTTGATGTCACCGAGATTTAGAGTTTCGATCAAGTGTAACTCCGTGATGTGGCACCTGAAGCCATGTGACACATCACATGGCAATGGCAAAGGTAATGGCCAAGTTATCTTTCGATTAACAAACCTCCATAGCTTGGGTCGTCGTGGGCATTTATAGTCAGCTCCGAAAACAGCGGGCTCGAGTGGTTCAAACAAAAACCTTCGTGATCGATATTCGCCTCTTGAAGATGAAAATTGCATCTGAACATGATTCTGCATTGCAAATAACTACTTGAGCTCATTAGATCCACGTATGGCAACCATGAATTTCAATCAATCTTTTATAGGTTGGCAGGGATGTTCATGTATGACGAGTCAACGATCGTGGCCTTGGAACTCATAGCCTAAATACTGGGTAGACTTGCAGGGAGATGGATACTTTTTAGGATTCCGAATCGGGTGGACTCTACATCTGTACTTGCCGTCACTCCATTGTTGACCGACAAGGGTCCGACTGGAAACGAAAGGATATGAATTGAGGACATTACAAAGAGAATTGAGATCAGACATCGGTTGGAATACCTAAGGACGAGTGGGTGAGTAAATTAATTTAGTGACTTCAGCTAGAAACACACATTAGTACATGAGGCATTCACTCGCAGTCCATGCATGTATCTCTCACCAGACCTAGGTAAACGGATAATTTTGAAATGGCAGCTAGAAAATCGAGTCTCAATCTTCCAGTCATTGTGGTGATGAGAAATACATGCCTATACGGTACCCATAACGGCCCCCCATGTGCGATCCATGTATGAAGTAAACTCATTTCCCAATTCTTTCAATATATCTTTCCCGCCTCAGCCTCGTAAGATATTTGGATTTGAAATTTATCATGTAGATAGTCATGAATCAGTGTAGCTTAAGTACCTATGGAGCGAGTGCCTTGTAATCGAGTGCTCCAGAGCAGGAGTTTCTTTTTCTGTGATCGGGGAACTTTGTGCTAACAAAATCTTTAGAAAACTTTTTAGTTTTGAGAAATCCAATGCTGCACCCCTAAACATGATTTTTCATGAATTTCTAAAATTATTTTCAGCAAGTGTTCGCATGTAAAATTCAAGAGAGAACGGCTGTGAGACATGCTGCAATCACCCAGCGCACCCGATCATAGGATCACGAAAAACTAGTTCCCCTGATGTAGAATCACCTCCCGATATAAGTATATTCTCGTTATAAGGACGCGAACCTTGGCCCCAAGGGTACGCTTTGCATGTAGAGTCATCTCTATGCTATGGCTCTTCGATTTCTCTATGACAAGCTTTGTCACGGGATGCATGCGTACATCAGTGGAAGTATTTTTGTGATCGGGTGCTCTGAGTGATTACAGGCTATCTCAGAGGTGATTTCTCCCGATCTTTGCATGAAGAAGAGAAAAGTGAAAATCTTATTTCGAAATCCAAGAAATTTATATTTACAAGACTCCATCTTTAGACTCTTGAAAAGAGAGAGATAGTGTGAAAGGTTTGTTTGCAAAAGATCTCTCGATCACAATTAGAGAAAACTCGTGCTCTGGAGTACAGGATCCGCTCGATAAGTGACAATTTCCCCCCCCCGATGGTATACCGCTCATTTGCACCTTTTCTGCTTTTGTATATTCTGGATAAGCATGCATAGGATCTTCTGCCCATCGGCATGTTTGATGACAAAACTTGTATATCGTCTTGTTCTGCACTCGGGATACACATGAACAGTCATCCCCAACCCACGGACTCCTTCTATCCATCGCAGTTGTAAAGGGTACATATGGAATGGTTTCTGCGTAATACGTATTGACAAATGAATAAACTCGTCATAAGCTTCAGCACCAGAGTCCAGAGGGTATCAAGTACCCTCATCTTCTATCCATACCGCGGAGGATAACGTCTCTATGCTTAATGTGGGTCCATGTTTGATATGTCTTCTGTCCACACTGCATCCTACAGCAAACTCCTGTAATAAGTATATCGTCAGCGCTCATGCCTCTACGCTTATAACGGAAGCCAACCTTACTTGGTATACCTGTGACAAGTCTCATGTGTATGTATGCATACAACATACCATCTCACTTGGGCATGTGCATCAATTACACGTACATTCCGTTACCATAAAATCGACACAAGTGGTCAACCGTTTCTAAATCTTCGGAAACAGCCCTAAACGGGATACATGGTGATAACAACAATTGAATACGGAAAATGAACGAATAATATCTTCAGGTGTAAATATTCAAGAAGACCTGCCCTCACAAAATGACTTTCTAGCACTCATGCTTAGCTCGCTCGTAGAAGCCACCAATCTTGGGATGAGAGGATTTTATGGATAGCGACAGGGAGACCACTGCGAAATATCTTAGCCTCAGGAGTTACCGCCACTTTGTGTTTGCTGACATTTAGAGCCACGCTTTGAAAAGATCACGGTATATATTGATGCTAGGGTTGATATCTGATTCAACCTCGCCTGCATAGGTAGGTATGTAGACATTGTGCTTGTATTTTATTTACCTGGTGTTCAACAGGTAGGGTTTTTGTCGGAACAGGCCGCTCAAGAGCCTTGGGTGAAGACAGCCCTTGTCCCTCCAAGAATTGTTTTCAATATCAGAAGTCAATTCTTGGTAACCACCCAGGCGTAAAGAAGCCACGGATGCACCCTCAAGCACCTAGATAAAGTCTGCGGCACTAGCAACGGTTATGAATAAAGAAAATTGTAAACTCATCAATGGCCTGGCAGACCAGACGTAATAGAGGATGCGAGCAATGAGGGTCACATACCGTAGAAACTGGTGGGTAGGAATGCAGTCTTATACACAAGGCACACATTAAATCTTGTTTTTTTAGCGTACTTTGAAATATCTCACATAGTAAATCTACACAAAATCGTTTCTTATGCACACATCCTTTCCCACACTTGGGTACTTTCTTACCCGTGAGTAGCTACGATATAGGGACTGATGAGGTTAATACGTAGGCTCGTCGGTACATAATGGTGCTTAGTAATACTAATATCAATATCTTGGCTTGTTGCTTTTTCTGTTCCCAACTGTAATGTAACAAGCGAAAGCCTCCGCGACCTACATATGTACTGCATATACACAATTCATGGAGACACACGGAACCATCAGAGAGAGGAAAAGCCGGTGAGTTGCAAACATATATAGTATTAAGAGACTGGGTGAGGGAGGATTGAATCTTCATGATGTTGAACAGCTGCACATTTGTATCACGTTCTACGTCACGAGAATTGTGAATGGATGTTCTGAATCTAGGGGGATTTTTCCTCGGTACGGGCAACTCGCGGGGCTCATACGGTATATATTTGCTCAAGCATGCCCAATTACTTGCCTCAATCTTTGGCTACAAATAATTCTGAATCGGTTTCAACACTATTAGTGGACAAACGCCGTATTCTCTTCAATTGGACACATCCCTAGTGCCAACCAATGGAAAGTGCAAAAACAAGTGGAGACAGTGGGAATCGAACCCACGACCGTCTCAATTTTCAAAGACTAATTGGTCATTGCAAATGAGAAATTATACCACTAAACCATATCCCCAATTCGATGACAGTAAATGAGTTCACGATCCACAATGGCCGCTATCCTAACGCAAGAATATCTCTCCACCAGATATCTTTCGGGGACCGCGCGCTATTTCATTCATAAGGCGCCTTCCCTTAACTTCCGATATTGTGTAAACATCAATCCCATGGGTGCACCGCTGATGGGGCCTAGAACATTATTCAATCTATGGGAGACTACATAAATATCCATTCCTGTGCCCCATAAGTCGTTACCTTCCAAATAGTAGTAGTGCATTGTTATGAACAAAATAATTCAGAATAGTCACACATCACAGATAGGCAGTTCGCACTGCTGCAAAACCCTACAATTCCGTTGCCTTGGTCTAGGGACGCCGCAATGCTCAAAACTAAAAATACAACTAGGCAGGCAATCGGCTTTATGCCAAGTCATAAATTGGTGATAGCCATTGGTGATTTAAGATGGTTGAAGATACTTGGGTGGGTAGGTGGGTAGGTATATACCCGTCACTGTCGGGGTGAGTGATAGTTGGTGCAGCAAGCACATGTACTGGAGTTGGCAGTGCAGGAACAGATTGATCAAAGACTGGAGGTGTGGAATCATAAAGATTCAAATGGAATCAACAACCTAAGGCTGAGTCGGGGGCTTGGATTTAATCATGATGGGATTCCTTTTTCAGGCCAAGTCAGGGCAGGGCACGGGGATTTAAATTCCAAATAATTCATTTCAGAAAACGCCCATATTTCCAAGGAAACTAAAACAAAAAAATATTACATCTACAAAAAGACGCAATCCCAATCCCCTCCCCCAAAATTAAACATCTACCCCTGCAATATTAATGATCTACTCCCTTCTACTAATCAATGAACCACAAAAACTACCCCCCTTCCTCCTCCTCCTCCTTATAATAACTAACCCATTACCTAATGCCTAATAAACAGTCACCTCCACAATTGATATTCCCGCATCTCTCGCAACATCCTCAAACTCATCAGTATCCCTTCCCGCAACGGTAATCAGCATGTGCCGGCTCGAACGAGGCTGCGTGGTGACCATATCATCAAAGTAGATGTTATTGCGGTGCATGTATGTAACTAGTCTGTGGTAATCGCCCATGGAGGCGGAGAATGTTACTGCCATTGATTTAGTATAATTGATGGTGGGTTATATTTGTGTGTTTGTTTTAAGTGTGTGTATAGTGAGTGGAGCTATTGGGCTAATGTTAATGATTATGATGGCTGTTGAGAATTTGAACATATCGACAGAAGGATTGCAAGGGGTAGGGTATTTATAACATTTTTTTTTAGATAGATGGACAATACAAGAATTCAAATTCCTCTGTGTGGCCTGGGTGGCATCTGGCTGGCTGGCCATTTGAGTTGGCCGTTCATGGTTTGGCATCTACATGTGCGGTGGGAATGCCCTACCTAAAATGAAATGGCCTATACAAGTCAAGTCAAGTCCTGGCTGGCCAAGCAGGCTGCATTAGCCCCCCCTGCGTTGACCACCATCATTATGGCTGACAGGTGGAGATGAGGTTGTCAGTGACGATGGACAAAATGGGGCTGTGCTACCTCAGGCATCAGCAAAGGTCGAGTTAAAGATATCGGCGCCACGGCGACGACAGCGCCGATGGGAGTAGTCTACCGCCACAGCGACACGAGCTCGTCGGCATGGCGCTGCAGCGTCATGCCAGCGCCGGTAGCGACGATTGGGGGGTGTCGCCACAGTGCCAAATCGACTTTTGCTGATTAAAATCCCTCAACATCTTCGGTTATTTAATTAAATAAATTAATCCCCGCCACGATATATCCTTGTACTCTAACCATCATGTTAACGGGAGGTTACAGTTAAGTATGTTTGCATGATCTGGCAATATCATCTGAAAATCGATTCTTTAGCCAACAGCCAACCATAAAGCGGGGGGAGGGGGGGGGGGGGCAAGATAAGTATAGGTGTTTTTAGTTTAGAACCACATTGTCACTTTAGTTTGATTCAGGTTGTTATGTATGGACAGGCGCAAATTGAAATGCAATGTGGCAGGAGAGCAGTCTGGATAGCCGACGAATTATCCCGCTCCAAGGGCAGTTAGGTTCGGTGTGAACACCGGGGGTCGAGGAGGCATGCAACATGACTTACTCAATTAACGCCAGTGGGTAACTATTCATATGAAATCCCGTACTCTAGCTTTTGCGTGGAAGGTGCTGATTGGGTAAAATCACTACCTGATTTAAACTACAAGAACTTGTTCAAACACATGTTGATTGTTCGTTCAAATATTCCCATCCACCACGGTTGCATCAATCTTTTCATGGCGAGCAGCCAGTGTCTCATTGTGAATTAAATTAAGAAAAAGTTAGATGGCAGGAATATCATTCAGATTATTACTTCGAGTCGTTGTCTCGACACCACTATGGTTTAGCTTGTTGCCGATATGCACGAATTTGCGCAAGTGCTTAATTGGATCATGTACCCATTGGTGTGGGTCACCCCTGCTTATGTTCACACTTACATTGCCTCAGCCCCCCACCAACTACGCCTAACAAAACAGTCCCCCGGAATACCTTTGTTGCTTGAATTTAAGTTAAAGATAGACTGTATTGCGTACCGTAGCGTAAACAGGCTTTAATTTGACAGTTCAGGGCTAGCTGTGACACAGGGCTAGTCTAAAGCTTTAATTGAACAACATCCTGCTCCTTTTCTTGTGCTTATGTAAACTTGACACGGTGGATCTAATACGTCAATTGATCAAGAGTTAAATTCACCCCAGGCCGTCCCGAGAGTATCGCTTCACCCATGATGTCCCCACCCCTTAAAAGGTAAATCGCCTTTTCTTCCGCAACTAGTGGTTGCTAGTATCAATACTGGGATAGATTGCAGAAAGACATTTACTTCACAACGACGATGGGAATAGTGCGAAAGAGTTGAAGGAGAGGTTTGAATTACATTTCTTGCCTCGGAATCTATGGTAAGTGCAAGCTTTGAATACCGTGACTATTGGCGAATGAGATGGTGAGGTGACGCTATGGAGATATGAAATTGGCAAACATACGCTGGATATAATTACTCCAGCAGCAGAAACAACGCCAGCAGCGGCAGCCAGCACAAGCCTCCCGGTATAGCGTTTTCAATTGCTTTCATGGGTATAAGTGGCGGTGTGGGAAAGAGCTCGAGTACGGTTCGTTTTTAGTAGCTCAAAAATTGAGGGAATTTTTTTGGTTGTGTTAGTTAATTCGCCGAATTTCGATATATATTTCCTTTGCCATCTGTTCTGCTGCTGCTGTAAATTTCTATAAATTTTATTTAATCTAGGTACTATATCGTGTGTAAACGTGCAAAATCGAAAAAAAGAAAACGAAGGCCGGACGCCCGTGGTTACTGGTAGGCGTAATTAGGTAAATATATTCACTTTACTCAAAAACCCTAATAGTCTCTGGCGCCACGGATTATGTGAGCTATTTAAATGTAAAATTGCTCGTGTCTATACTTATATATTATGCACATGCATATGTTCACATAGCCTCACAATTGAAATACGCCGGCGCTACCCATCCATTACAGATACACCACGGCCGATAATTATTATTCTTTCATGCATACGATATATGGGGGGCAACCCTGTGCGCATTTTGTCACGATTTTATGCACTTATACTCATTTTACCTCGAGTAGGTATTTATCTAGTTGCTTTTTTTCATAGCCAATTATATCTAGTCTTGTAATTTCCATGCTATTAATGGCAAGGGGGGTAATAAAGCTTGGATCTCGTTAACGTTGGTGTGAATATCGTTAAGACTTGGACATGAAGTTAAAAAAGAAACGAAATTTTAAAGAGTTGAGAAGTTACGCTCTTGCAATCAAAACACTGTTGGTACAGGGCCCTGCTTGCCACCATATGGACTTGAGAAATGCCCGTAAAAGGTTTGGCTTACCGGGTTTTCCTTCATTCGTTTGCCTCACCAAAATACATTCATATGTGAATAGCTAGATGAGCAATGAAATTTTAGTTGCTTAATACCATAATAACTCGCAAAAAAAGAAGGTTCGTTAGGTAGGACGGTAACTGCGAATAAGACGGTACTTCCAGCCTAATGGATCATCCTGGGTGAGGTGCTTGGAAATAGGACAATATTCACACGCACCATTGAAGCAGCATTATTAGTGATTAAAACGTTGAATCTTAACCTTCGCCTTTTTATTTAACATCGGCCTGTTCCTCGCCAATATGACAATATTCTGGTTTGAGACAGTAGTTTCTTCAAATTCTTATGTTTCATTGTATCCATTCTTATCCGCGAGATATTGCGGTAATGCTGATGTATATAGTATCTTTATAACGGAAGTTATCTGCATAAAATGCTGTACATATCTGTTGTCGGCGGCAGCATATTGACCTTGTAATAAGTTCTGCCTGGAGTGTCAGGCCTTACCGTAAGCCATCAAGCAATAGATTACGTCAATATCACCCTTCTGAAATACATGCTCGCAAATGTGTCTTACTTTATTCAAACAAGCTTCGAATAAATGATATGACGTTGAAATTAAGTTGGGGCACATCATGAACATGACGGAGTTATCCATTCCATTATTCGACTTTTTGCCTTGGCGCAAGTAAGCCGCTTTAAAGACAACATTCAGCTCGGCTAATTAAAGATGTGCCATTAGATGTCGTCCAACGAAATTCTTGTGCTTGGAGACAGGCCATATTAGTGCGCATCAAGAAGAAATGACAAGCCCGTGAAGGAAAGAGAGCTGTTGGTAGACAAACAATAAGCGGAAAATACCTCTCGGGCAGCTCAACCGACCACACTTTATTTCAGTGAGAACATTGCATGACAAGACACCTGCAATGATTTGTTTGTTGCGGGGACTATCAAAGAATTTATGACTATGACTGCCTTCATATCTTAAAAATATATTGCATTCATGTATTTCGTGAGATTTTATTGCCTCAATTTATAAGGCTGGGGTTGCTACCCTGTCCTCCGGCAATGTTGCACAATGCTAGAAAACAA